AAATAAACCATTGAACTTTGATCGGTGCATGCAAGGTGAGTAAACCTCTCTTAGTTTTTTCTGTAGCTTTAATTATGCTTGATAACGCCATTATCAATTTTTCTCGGAACGTGTAGCTTATTGAAAAACCTCATAGCTATATGATCAGCGGTAAGAACACTGAGTTAAAATATATTAATGGTAGCCAACTTGAACAGTTCGTTCAAAATGCATAGAACACGCTGGAGAGCTGGCTTTGACTACGCTCCTACAATATCAATAAAAATAACATAGTCACCGAACATCAATATACTGTTCGTTTGTCTGAGTGTCTGTTTCCTTGTTATCATATGTATATTTCAGTTATGAAGCCGCATAAGACTTCTCATATGACCTTTATGACCCGGACCTATTGCAAATGGGTAAGAAGTGCTTGTGTAAATTTATATAACAGGCAGAAGGAAGCATCTCCGAACCCATAAAGTATACATATTCTTGATCAGCATCAATAGCCGAGTGGATCCAGCCAAGGATATCAGAATCTATAAGATCTAGAGACTTGAAATTTTAGGCGCAGGTCCTCCTAGTGCCTGCGCAGATCGAGTTTGTTCCGATAATCGATAACTTAGTCCGTTTCCAAGCAATCGATAAAACTCGATATCGACATTCTGTTTCTTGAGCAAATTGGGTAAATATTAAGAATTAGAGCACTAACCAAACAACATATAGACTGGACATCACATAGAAACAGCGTTGGCACAAAAAGTATCGGTGGCATCTGGTCCAAACTCGCGAGTAAGGGAGTAAGATGTACATATGATGTATTTTTGAATCGCTTACTCTACAGGAAAGTGCTTGGCGCACTCTCTTCCATATAATTTGTGCGATAGAACGGCAACGCTGTTAACTTTTATCTCGTTCGCACTTACTCTCAGCTTTCAATGCTCTCTCTTTTTATGTTTAGGGATCGTTTAAATGTGTGTGTGTGTGTGTGTGTGTGTGTGTGTGTGTGTGTGTGTGTGCGTGTGTGTGTGTGTGTGTGAGGGTGTGTGTGTGTATGTGTCCGACAAGCAAAACTGCGCAAAAATGAATAGAAGCATTTATGCGCTTGTGTGCCTGTTGCTTGCCTGCCTGCCTGTCCCCGATGCAAATTTAACAAGATTTTAGGATTTATGATTTCGGACCTCTACACACAGACACACATACAAATGTCTGTGAATGGGCTGATCATGGCCGCAAATGAAAATATCATTATTGGCACGCGTCTGACGCCCGCCCACACCACATGCCACCGCCTCTACTCAACAGCCACACCAATAATTAAGTCTCAGTGAGTCTCAAAAAAACGAATTTAAATAGCAGCACAGCAAACAATACAATCGCAACTACAATGATGTTGATAAAATTCGCAGCAGATGTGCATGAATTTGTGTGTGTACACGTATACAGAAATTCTTGGAATTTGCGTCGAAAACACGTGCGCACTCAAAACACCGAAAAACAAAACAAAAATTGATCTTAATTAAATTTTTTATAGTATATCTTATTGTACCCTAGAATATTTGTATATTCTCAAGAAGTCAAATTCATTCAAATTGTGGCTTAAATTGGTTGGCAAAACAAGATGGGATAGGTATAAAATGAAAGATACTTGATATAAATATAACTCACGGTTGTAGTCCGGCCTTGCCCCTGGTACGTATACTCAAAAAGCTTTGAAAATTATTTTAAACTTATCGCATGGTAAAGAAACAACTTTCATACAACTGTTTTCCTCCAATTTATCACTATTGTGGGTCGAATTCCCCGAATCGCAAAAACACATATTCATTAAGTTCTTATGTAGAACGATATTTCAATATGCAAAAGTTGTTCCTGATTTAATTGTCTTATCGCATCATGGTTCCTTAATTGGCTTTCATAACCTGACCAATTAAAAATTTGTAGAAAGGTTATGTTTTTTTTTTATACCCTGGACCCATTGAAAGTGTGTAAAGAGGGTATAATGTACGTGTGCAAATGTATGTAACAGGCAGAAGGAAGCATCTCCAGCCCCAAAAAGTATATATATTCTTAATCAGCATCAGTAGTCGAGTCGATTTATGCGGCTGGTCCATAGTCGCCTTCGTTTTTGTTCAGGCTCGAGGCACGCTCAGACAGCAAGAGAGTAAGAAATACATATGACTTGTGTAATACGGCAACGCTGCTCTTCTTATACCCAGAACCCATTAGAAATGGGTTTAAGGGTATATTGTATTCTTTCATCATCCAAATGTATGTAACAGGCAGAAGGAAGCATCTCCGACCCCATAAAGTATATATATTCTTGATCAGCATCAATATCCGAGTCGATCTAGCCATGTCCGTCCGTCCGTCCGTATGTATGAACGCAAGGATCTCAGAACCTATAAGACCTAGAGACTTGAAATTACTAGGAGCACCTACATTGCCTGCGCAGATCGAGTTTGTTTCCGATAATCGATACCTTATTCCGCTGTTTTCTGAGTGGAGGCATAGCAAGTAGTGCGGTCTGTAGCGAGTTCGAGCCCTATCGGGGAAAGTTATATTTATTTTTTGCTGGTGGGGCTGTTGAGTAGAGTCGACAGCAAGTAATGCAGTCAGCTGCGAGTTCGAACCCTGCCAAGGGAACTTTTTTTTATTAAGTTATTTGGTATTGGAATAAGAGGGTTCAGGGTATCCCCTAATCGGGAGCTCCCGACTAGAACCTCTTACTTGTTATGTGTGTATGCGTCCGCACAAGCAAAAATGCTCACAAATTCAACTTTTTTCAAAGGTCGTTAGCTTTCTTCCTTTTTGTAGGGACGAGTAATATTGCATAACGAAAGGGTTTGCCATGTTGATGAGAAATTCTAGCATTCTAACATTGGCATGTGTGCACTCAAAATATTTTGGACTCGCCATTTACGCATAATTGAATATTTTCTACATGAATAAAACAATTTATGGGCTTGTGTGCCTTTTGGTTGCCTGTCTGCATGTCCCTTGCAAATTTGGCAAGATTTTAAGTTTTGTGATTTCTGTATTTCGGGCGCTAAACACCACACACACACAAATGTGTGTGAATGGGAAGATCAAGGGCGCAAAAGAAAATTCATTATAAGCATGCGTCAGGATTGAATAAATTGAATGAGACGACTTTATATAAAGTCATCATCATATATCAGTCAATAAAATTATGAATACTGTAAACATGTATTTAATCGAACATTTTTTGTGTAGGGTATAATTGAATATTTTGAACATTTTAATTTTTTTATTTAAGTGGTCAGTCAATTGACCTACAACTGAGGCAGCACTGTCAATAAGAAAACCTGGGAAGGTTGGATGGTTCAAGTAACTCCAGTGGCCCAGAGGCATCAAAGCTCACGGCAGCAAAAATGGTGGCTATTACCAAAAAGTGAGTTACGTCATACAACAAAATGCCACTATGCAGCTTGATTTTCACAAAATTGAGATGGAAAACGAAATCGGTGCCCTTCCTCTATCAGAGTTTAAAGAGCGAAAAAGCTAAATATACTCTTAGATTCGGCTCTATGAGGGCCGAGTGGGCAATTATGTTTCCATGTATGTGCCTATACAGACACTTAATCATATTTGAAAGTGCGCTATTCCCGGCAGTAGCTTTTTCTGCAGAAAAATATTATCATCGACTTAAATACTGATTTTCAACCGAGCCAACCTCAGTATAAAACACACCCATGTGAATACAAATTTGGATATGTCATATTAGCGCTGGAAAACTAACAAAAATATTTTTTTTTAGCACCAAAAGCCACTGCAGCGAATAACAACATATATTTTGATTTACTCATGCATAAACGATTTGCACATACAAATATAGGTGCTTACACGCCAATGGCTGAGACAAGAAATCCTCTCCAGGATGCACTGTAAAAAAAAATAAGGCCAATTTACGAGGGCTATTGTATTGTATTGTTATGGCACACGGTACACTATGTGATATAAATTATTTATTTCTAAATTTCCCTACAATTTGCTAATATAATCTAAGATAATATATCACTTATAAAGACAGACTAGTGTCTGACTTTGTTGCTCGTGTCAGCATCAACATGCAGGAACTTAGGCCTTCGCCAGTCGGCCGAAGAAAAGAAGAAGAGCGAAAAGCCATATGAAAACGTTGGCTCGAAATTTACCACCTAATTTAAATTTATGGGCGTTACTCATCTTAGTGTTAATATTGTCTTATAGTGTCAGCTGCATCAGCGTTAGCAAAGCCAGTAGTAAAGGCTTACTAAGTATTAGCAACTTTTTTAGGCCCCCTGCATGCAGACTTGAAGCATTCCAAGAGAGAGATATGTTGCCGACTTACTGGCGCGGTTGTTTCGAAATCGCTGATGCCTACAAAATATATTTAAAAAAAAAAATGATCAGAATCAGACACATCGTTTTTCATGGCATGAAAGGAAAGAGAAAGGGAAGCATAAACATTTGCGGATATGAACAGTTCAACGATGCGCAATAATAAATCCAATATATGCTTGTTTACGAGAAAAGATTGTAGAACCCTTGAACGCGGGCAGAGAGCAGCGAGAGCGAATCAACAAATGTATTACTGTTAGCATTTAACGCCCAGAATTTGTAGAGGTAAGAATAGTAACATCCATGGAAACTTTTGTAACGATGACATAGATTCGTTTATTTAAATATTACATACATTAAACATTGACTTCGGCGAAGAGTTATTTTCTTCTATATATGAATGAAACCGCTGTTGGTGTTTTATTATAGCTCTGTTAAACATAAAATGTTAGGAATAGGCGAGTGGTGAGTTTCAGGACCTAACGCACGCACATACGCGCGTCAGGAAAGAATACTACTCAATATATTAACAAACTGTGATTTAACAGACACAATTTAGTCAGCGGAAAGCCATTAGTCTTACGCTATAAATACAGCGCAAGTTAAATTTCGGATCATCATGAAATCTTGGTGCATCATCCACTTGGCGAGTAACATATAACAATAAAAATATTAGCTTTTTATGAATACATTCAAATGGTTTTATATTCAATTTATATATACGCCCAAACAATAATAATATTAATCAACTACTCTAAACACACATAGATAATAATAGTAGCTACATAGTGTACGTAATATTATTAGATGACTATCTGTCGTTGTAGGTGCGGCTTCTCTTGATATCCACATTAAAGAGTCGCGACCAATCAGCAATTACATCGAGCTGCAAACAAGTCGAATAATAAGTAGAAAAAGGTTTTATATGAAAATCTACCCTACATCACGGTCCATGATGTTGTCGCAAAAGCATAGATCCAACAATTTCAGCTTTGTACAATGCACCAGAATGCTATACAAAAATTATACAAGTTTTACGAAGATAACTTTTATGTCACAATTTAAAAGCTTACTCATAAACACGTTCGTGGGTTATGTTAAGAATTCCCATCAGATCCAACTGCTCGAGATTTTTCCCCAGAGTTGCAATATGAATAAGATCACGTTCAGTGATGCCACGCATTGCCGATAGAAAGAGCTTTTTTAGTTTGGGGCAGTTGAAGAGCAGCTGGTATAGGCTATCTCCCAGAGTGGCTTCACGCATGCTGGAACATAAATAGTGAAATAATTATATAAATGATGCCACGCGTCTACGAAATAAAGCAAAACTAAGTATGCTTGAGTTTTTCAGTTTTTCCAATTTGACAAGATGCTTGAGTTGGGAACGCCGACTAGGAAATTCCCTGAATCAATCGCCAATCTTTCGTCTCAAACATTTTAGCTTGCTTTTACAAAGAATACCGCTTGCAGCGCAGCAGACTTTGCGGCTGCACTTCTAATAGCCCCACCCAATGGAAATGCTTTCTTGATTTACTTCGGTGTTTATTATACTATCTCTTTAAGATTTGTAGGGCATAACATATTACACCCGAATGTGTGTAAAGCACAAAACTCAAAAGTGTACCAATAAAAATGCCTTCTTTAAATTTTAGAGGGAACTGGGACATACCCACTATACGGTAGCCCACATACAAAATTTGGTTTCTTTGGCTATTATGCATTATTATACAGAATTTCGATATCGATTTTTATCAATTTTAAGGAAACGGGTTAAGTTGTCTATGACAGGAGGACAGGACGGCGGAAAATATAAACTAAATGGTGTCGGACATGCTTCTTTTTGCCACATACATTTGCAGATAACCATTACTCCCTTGTAACCTATTTTCAATGACCCATCTTCTTCAACAGTTTGCGTTATGAGCCCGTTTGCTTTAGCAGTAATAAAAATAAATTTAATTAAAAAAAAAAAACAGTTTTCTCAATAAGACTCAAACTTGTAATACACCACAGTACTTGCCACCGCCTCTACTCAACACCCATACAAACTTTCATTGCTAATGAAAAACAAAGCAAATTAAAAAAGCAACACAGAAAACAATGCAATTGCAATGCTGTTGATAGAATTCATTCAAATCGCGCGTAAATATGTGTGTACAAGTACACAGAAATTCTTGAAAGTAGTAGCTTGGCAGTAGCTGCCGCAAGCACACTTTTTTTTTTAAATAATTGATCTTAATGATCTTATTATGCTATAGAATATTATTTTGGTGGATAGTTCAAATTGGTGTGTAAGGGGGAGTGGGGGAGGGGGGGGATGTGGCAACAGCTACCTATAAAATTATAGGTATACATACGTTCATACATATGGACTGATAGACGAACGGACAGATAAGCAAGCGGACAAATGGACAGAGAGACGGGCAGATCGACTCGGTTATTGATGCTTATCAATAATATATATATAATTTATGGGGTCGGAGATGCTTCCTTTTCCCTGTTAAATACATTTCTACAAATACATACCCTTATTTCCCACTTTAAATGGGTTCAGGCGCTAACCACAACCATATGTTGTTTGGTTAGTGGTTCAGGGTAGAAACAGAGAAAGCGGATTTTGATATCGATATTGGTCGATTGATTTGAAATGTGGCCAGTTATCGACTTTCGGAAACTACGCAGGACCTACGTTCATTTTAATTTAATTATTTTCTGGTTCTGAGATCGACGCGTTCTTACATACGAACAAACTGCCGGGCATGGCAATTTCGACATGGCTTTTGATACTGATAAAGATATTAGATATTCGAATTATACCTATTTACCCAACTTCAATGGGGTAGGCGTATAAAAATTCCACCAGCTGGAATCAACTAGGGAGCGAGACAAAACTAATTACCATCGCCTCGTTACTAAACGAAATACTAACACTTCCGGTTTTCTGAAAAATCACGAAAATAGGGTTTTTTCGGCAAGCCGAAGATTTAATAACCTTGCAGAACAACCCCTTTCATAAGCTATGATCGTATCTAAGAAGGACAGAGAAAATAGTAAATACCGAGTATGATTAAGATATCTTGAAAAACAAAAAATGTTTCATACAGGAACGAAAATGAGGTTACATATAACTTTGGTTTTTTCTTAACCGATCTTTATGAAATTTTTACAGTCTTATGATACCATAGAAACTTTGTGTATTCTTAAAAAGTCAATTGCATTTAAATTGTGGCTTAATTTGGTTGGCAATACAAGTTGAGTTATTAACTTGATTTATAGCAGCTCTGGCGTGGTAGCTGGGTGGTACCGAAAAGTATAAAATGAAATATACTTGATATATATACAATATTCTAGAAGCAACATATCATGTTTGGTGAAACTAGCTTTTATTATTTACCCAATTTGCTCTAAAATCCCGATGTCGATATCGATTTTTATGGATTGCTTAAAAACGAAGTAATTTATCGAAAACAAACTCGATCTGCGCAGGCACTAGGAGGACTTCTCGCTCTATATTCTTGCGTTCACACATACGGACAGATGGACGGACAGTCGGACATGGCTAGATCGACTCGGCTATTGATGCTGATCAAGAATATATATACTTATATACTTTGCACAACAACATTAAAACCCTTTATACCCATTTTTAATGGGTTCAGGGTAGAAAAATTGCATAACTTTTAAAAAGAAAAATTAATTGGTCAGGGTATAGTAGCCAAATAAGGAACCATGATGCGACAAGACAATTAAATCAGGAACAACAGCATATGAGCGTGTTTGATGAAACCGCTTCTTTTAACAGATATTTATATATAAATATACTGTATGTCATGAAATTAATTTTTGTCGATTGCTTTGTAATTGGGCCAGTTATCGACTATCGGAATCTGTGCAGGACCTTAACACCCTTGCAGACCGAACCCTTTCATAAGCTAATATACATATCTCCTTCTATTACACATTGCGGGACAAAAATATAATATCGTCTGCAAGGGTATAACAAATCATTTGCAAAACATCAACAGTGCGCATGAAATCCCATTTACTTTTGTCATCCGTCTCGATTGCCTAGATGTTTACGCAAGATGTCGAGGACATAGGAAACTCAGTGCAAAGAAAAGGGACAAAGGGTGCTACTGTGTTTGTGTCTCTGTCGAAACTACAACGCAGAGAGTAGACACAACATCAATTTGGGTAATAAATTGTTTGATTGGCAATCGAAAAGAGTGACTTACTTCTAGTAAGACATTCATTGTAGTTAGCCTCATGCATTTATTTGAGTAGATGTTATTTTTGGGTTCTTTTTAACTTTACGCACTATATCACTGCGTTTGCGCTCACTCACGGGGCGACCTTATCGCTCAGAGTTTTCAGGGTTTTGCGATTCTTAAAAGCGTTGTATAATGCTGCGAATCGTGAAACAGCTTCATTCCATCACTTCACCGATCTCAGCATAAGATATACCTTGTTTATGCAAATATCAAATTATTTTGCGTTGAGTTTTAGTTGTTTCTCTTTAAATCGAATAAAAAACTTAGTGTGCCAATACTTTAGCTGATTTTTGTAGGAAATTAACTGGCTTATACAGTTAAATTATTGCGGATGAATGTTTGTTACCAAAACTGGACGCAAAATTAGTGCAAGGTAGAAAATGCTTGCTGTTGCTTTTGCTTGCTGCAAATACTTGAGTGTGTCTGTACATGCAGATTTGCAATAAAACGAGTATGTAGAGACACATACATATGCCATCAATAATTTGCCCGTCGATGCTTAACCTTATTCGTAGTAATAGTATATAATGTTTATAGAATACAATTATTAATGATTGTACCAACGGCTACACAGTAACTACGAAATTAATTTTTTCTCTGACGTTGGGTAAAAATTGTTATAAGTACAAAAAGCTAAATGGTCTTTGATTACAGCACTAGTCAACAGTTAAAATACCCTATTTTGAGAAAACGTGCTTTGTTGGTCGAAAATTAAAAAAAAAACTGGAAATAGTTGCTTGTATGTTAGAAACGAGGGGCAAAAAGAAGACATGACTGTTACTTTGTGAATCCCAGTCACAGCAGTGCTTAGAAACAACAACAAAAAATGAGTTGAGAGTGCAGTATCTTTATTCATCATCGAGTCGTTTTTTTTTGTTTATTGGTTAGAAATTTTTTTTTCTTAAAAAACATTTTCAGAAGTTGCTGAAGACAGCCGGCTGTTGTATTTGTGATTTGTGTGTGCAACATTGGTATTTCGGTTTAAGTACATATTTTGGGAAAAGATATTTTGATTTAAAAACCCTATCAGACTATTTATTCATTACTCAATTCTTATTGATATTTAGACACACTTTCGTGCCATATTTATGTACATAAAATTTCATTAAGGTCGGGTCATATAAGAAAATAAATTCCTGTGGTTCGGCTTAAGTCATAATTGTGCCTTAAGGTCCACTTCCTGAATCATAACCATATGTTTTGGCTCGAACCTTAAATCACCAGTACAATGTTTTTAACAAAAACATTTTCTTCAAAAATATGGTTCTGTTTGCGTAAATATTCTTTTAAATTAATCAAATTGGTTCAGCTCATAGGAATAAAAATGAAAGCATTCCTTGATTATAGAATACATTTCCAACAGTGTAAAGCAATGTCAAGAAGTACAGCTGCTGCCAATCAAATTAGTTTAAATTATAAATATTTCTTACTTAAATAAATTTATTTTTTAAAACAATTTTTTTTTTCCTTGGACATTCAATGTATCGAATTATTAATGTACAACTTACCACCAACCTAGATCCAACTCTTCCAGTTGCTGGCAACGAGACAGCGATTGAAGGCCTCGTGCGGACAGAAAGTGTGCTTTCCACATGTCCAGCGAAATAAGTTGGGTGTTGTAAGTGGCCAGATGAGTTGCGACATTATCCATGTTCACCGAAACACCACAGAAGGCTGTATAACGTAGTAAGATTTAATAATTTTGGTATTTGGACTCGCCAAAGCCCTATAATAACCTACCTAAATTTAGATGCTTAAGTTTACGATTGCTTTCTAGCATGCTCAGTAGTAGTTCCGACTCAAAAGCAGTTTGAAACAGATCGAGCCGCTCTAGATTCTTGAGGTTTGCTAGGCAGGAAAAATTGAATAGTGGCGGATTCGTAGCACAATTGCGTAAACTCAGTTCTATAAGTGGAAAAATATTTTAGAATTAAACGGACAAATAAATAAGGCGATGACTTGCCTGTTAGATTATCACAAACAATACCCACTGTCTCAATGCAGCTGGCATTGAGAAATTTGCAAGAATTAAGCCGCAAATGGGTAATATTGTCTCCCCGTTGTGTCAGAAATCTAAAGAACGAATAAAGAATAGAAAGTGCTAAAAATTAATCAGCGCCTCATCATTATTCGCTGAGTTTTATTCACTTTTTAAACTCTGTGGGTGAAATTTCTCCAAACCCGCCACACCAGGACAAATCCAGTTTGCGCAACATCGTCGCTCGTCGCGCTAATGTGCATAATAGTTCCGAGTTAGCCAACTGCCAGTAAGGCTTTAAGCTGATGTCGCAATAGAGAAGGGGATGTGTGGAAATGTCGTAGAACAGGTGCGACACTTGTCCCATGCGAAATAGCGACTTAAGGTCCAGATAGCTGAGTATTTTCAACAGGATTTCACACTACGAGAAAGACTTTACACATGAGATGAAGTGCGAGCTTGTAAATCAACTTGGTTGGCCAACCGGCAGATCCGTGAGACAGATTTGTTGGGTACTGTTATGTATATGCTGCTCAGATTCCACATGGTTATCCATCAAAAACTGGCACAGATCGTTGTTTATAAAATCATGAAGTTTCCCTACATAATTTTCACGGCAGATGGGTTGGAAGTTTAACGTGCGCAGCTTGCAAGTAATGGGCCCACTACCGTCATCTTCTCCAGAGATACCAATACGCTTTTCTATTGGCGCAAGCAGCTGATGCATGCAACGCATTGGCACAGTTCTTCCGCAAAGCATAATAGCATCTATCTCGGTGTAATAATTCAGTCGACTATGATTAAAGTCGATGCGCAACGTTCTGTGTAAAGGAATAGCATCAGGAAGGATAGTTAAAGGTGGTACCTTTGGCTTACTTGGTTATCATGTTGGTCTTTTTAAGAGGCGGTGCAAAACGACGCGAATCACGTGGAAACTGATTTATATCACAGCTATTAGAATCCCATAAGCAGGTCCAGCGTTTGGTAATGCTGTAAGCCCAAATTCGCACTACACCGCCCGGATTAAATGTCTCAAAGATAGCTACCTCCATTGGCACCACATATTTTTCGAAATATACAACTGTAAAAGCATGTTGGTAATAATGGTTTTTACTTGAACTGCGGCTGATACACTTACTAATAAAATCATGTGTGGGCAGCTCAGGCAAATTTTGTGCCTGAATCTCTTGCGTGGCTGATGGTGCAAACTGCCACCAGTCACCGTAGGTACGCTGTGGAACAATTAAAATAGATAAAGAAAGGTAAACTTCGTATAATATAAAGGTATAAGGTAACAAGTAAGAGGTTCTAGTCGGGAGCTCCCGACTAGGAGATACCCTGAACCCTCTTCATCCGACATCAAATACAATATACTCTTATACCCATTTTAAGGGGTTCAGCGTATAAAAAGTTCTCTTGGCAGGGTTCGAACTCGCAACTGGCCGCATTACTTGCTGTCGACTCTACTCAACAGCCACACCAGCAAAAAAAAAAAAAAACAAACAAAAAAATACTTTCACCGGTAGGCTTGAACTTGCGACAGACCGCACCACTTGCTATGCCTCTACTAAGCAGCCACACCAATATTTAAATACTTATAATAAAAAAAAGGAACTAAAATAGCATTACAGAAAAAAGTCGCTATAACCATGCTATTAGAATGCGAAAGAGACGCGCATGAATGTGTTTGTGTATATGTATACAGAAATTCTTAAAGCTGCTGCCCCATTCAATTGCGCAGTTGCATATAACTTTGGTTTTTTCTTAACCGATCTTTATACAATTTTTACAGTATATCTTATTGTACCATAGAATATTTGTGTATTCTGAAAAAGTCAATTGCATTTAAATTGTGGCTTAAATTGGTTGGCAATAAAAGTTGGGATATTAACTTGATTTATAGCTATGGGTTGGTAGGGGGGACGTAGCGATAGGTATAAAATGAAAGATACTTGACATATATATAATATTCTAGAAGCAACATATCATGTTTGGTGGCTCTTATTGCATTTTACTAGATAATAGATTCTACTGCACTAAAAACATTTTGGGAAAACTGGGAGTTACAATCCAAATACATACTATGGCTATGGACCGGTACGACCTGATCTTTGACAGAATTATCTAAAAATTACATTCCGATAGCCAACAGGTTATTAAATCCCTATCCTTATACAGAACAAACTTGGAAGTTGTGCATGGTAGAAATAAAGTAATTAACACAGCCGAAGAAAAGCCCGGGTAACATTGCTCCACGGATACAGTGATATTGGAGACTACAATAAAGCCGATATGTTGGCACAGCAAGGATCAGAGCTCGACATCTACCGCTATGAACAGCAGGATTAGCTGTGGAAAGCATTTGCCAAAGTCCACATATGACAACAACTGGACAACTGACCTCCTTGCCATAAAATACCGAATAACCGTAGTACTGACGGGACACTAGCCAATAGGAAAAGGTAACCCTCAAGCCACAAAATGCAAATAACAAAAAGATGAAAATCCAAAAAGCAGAAAGCACACCAGCTGTAACCTGGAGGAAGCCCGTTGATTCTAGCAGATGGATATAAAAGCAATTGCCATACGAGAATTCTTGTTCTTTTAAACGAAATCCAATTGTAACTCGACGGCCCAGAAACAGTATTTAATTTATTGAATGCTGGTTGCAAACCCGAATAATCAAATAAAAAATCCTTGTGTTCATAAATACGGACGGACGGACATGGCTAGATTGACTCGGCTATTGATGCTGATCAAGAATATATATACTTTATGGGGTCGGAGATACTTCCTTCTGCCTGTTACAAACATATGTATTTTGCACAAATACAATATACCCTTATACCCATTTTTAATGGGTTTAGGGTATAAAAAAGACTCGCATAAATGTGTGTGTTTGATTTCGATGTCGATTTTTATCGATTGTTTGGAAACAGGGCAAGTTATCGAATATTGGAAAAAACTCGTGCTTCGCGGGCACTAAAAGCACCAATTTCTTTGTCTTTAGCTCTTAAAGGTTTGGAGATTCTTGCGTTCATACATTACATATGGACGGACAGACATGGCTAGATCGACTCGGCTGTTGATTGCGATCAATAATATATATACTTTATAGGGTCGTAGATGCTTCATTCTGCCTTTCAGATACATTTGCACAAATACATTATACCATTAACCATACAACATATAGACAGGACAATGGGATGAATGGCACCATGCATATTTGTGACAACTGATCAAAATTCGACTTCATTTTTGTTCGGAATTGTTGTGTTTTATCTCGCTCCCACATCAGGAAACTGCTTTCACTCTCATCCATATATATATTTATGCGATAGAGCAGTATTTGCTGTTCTTTATGTCATTCTAGGGATCGTTTAAAGGGATGTTTGTGTTTGTGTCCGCAGAAGCAACAATACGCACAAATTGAATTTTTTCTCAAATGCCGGAGGCATTTCTTCCCTTTTAAAAGGAACGAATAATATGAAATAATGAAAGAGTTTGCCACGTCGATACGAAATTCTTGTGTTTTAGCTCGTTATTGTTGGAGTACCTAAGCGTTTGCATTTAACAATGTTTTGACTTGCTATGCACGCACACTTGCACATTTTGTATATGTATAGAATTATTTATACGTTTGTGTGCCTGTTGGTTGCCTACCTGTCCGATGCAAATTTCAAAAGATTTGAAGTTTCTGTGATTTCTGATTATCGAGCTCTACATACACATGCACACACACACAGCCATCCGTGTGGCACGCGGCCTATAAAATACTACCACAGCTAATCTTTGCTTGTCGTATGAGGCGACTGAAATGACATGGGGATGTAATTGCTCGGAGGAGTGCCTCTAGTAGGCGAAATGATTCTGACTGCGATTAGCCAGGCAATGGTCAGATCGATTCCATTCCTGGGCAATTAAAGCTGCTCGTGACCTCCGGCAGTGGCCAGGTATCCCCTGGATAGGCGCTGCACACCCGTAAGGCGCCTAGCAAATACGAGAACATGACTGAGACAGAGACCTGTAAAATCTTAGGTTGCAAACACTAGACACCCAGATAGGACTAGACTGGGCTGACGGCTGACAGCATTCTAGAACCTCATTAAGTGGAGTGAAATCTGGCCGAAATGACTGCTAGGCTAATGCTGTTACCATCCCCGTCCCGTTAAAACGACAAATCTCCAAGCACGCTTCTCGACTCGTCGCCATTTAGTTGGCAGTATAGGTTTAGATGTAATATCCCTCAGTAACGCGGAACTAGCTCCGAACACTCGACCCCATGAATGCGGGTGTCAACCCTCGCATTGCCTTACTGCTTGGAAAGGCAATCATGAGATCTAAACCCAACTATACAACGACCAATAACAGGCTTAGCTTTCGACCTCACTTAGATTATGTTAGCCAGAAAGCAGCCGAAATGCAGGTGGCCCTTTCGAGGATGCTACCTAACATAGGGGGCCCAGGGCAAAAAAAAAAAAACATATCTTTTCTACGGATTACTATTGACAATCTGAACAAACCCTATGACGCCCATCACCTCAGCGAGCAAGGTATTAACACATTCGGCTGACTTAAAATCAATGGCCATCCGATCGTGTACAATTATAAATTATTTTGTATACATAAATATTAAAAATTTTGTGCATGGTCTCTGTGGCTATAACTTAGTTTCGCGTATGCAATGTGTGCAATGTGGCAATGCAAAAATTAGAAGATTTAATAAAGGCTAACTTGTGTATGGCATCAATGGGTACATTAATTGGCGCAGGATATCACATTTAAAGAATAATTTTGTTTTTTTAAACGGAGGCAAATAAAAGGCAAACATGTGCCAACTTTTTGTGACTTGCATTAAAATTAGTATGTTCAAATCATTAAAAAATATTAATATCTGCCGCTTCAACATATATATCAGTAACTTTCGATATAATGCAAACAGAGGCAGATGTCGCTCGGCGTATTGTATATGACATTAAATCACTCATTTATTTATTGTTGTATGTAAAAAGAACACGATTTTCGATTACAAGGAACAATATTTTGCAACATGATTTTTTTGGCATTCTTTTCTACATTATCATAAGTTTCTTCTTTTTTCTGCTAGTTGAAAACATTAAACGTGTATTATACATGCGTGTATCTTGAGCTATGACAGTCTCACAAAAACGAGCGATATATGTTCATATTCCAATTATTAGCTTTAATGGTTTCTATTAACGGCTGAAAAGGACGAATTTGGGTAGATCGATTCAGCCCTAACCTCGTACTGATCAAAAATATATACATTCTTTATGTACGCGGATTTGATTTATCCTGTTTGTTACATACATTTGCGCAACGGCAAACTAAACTACTTGCAAAGGGTTAATGTTATACAAAAAAATGAAGCGTATTTAATCGATTTCATAACATTAATGCCTCCCGCCTCCAAGGTTCATGCGAAATCTTTTGTATGTTACTGATATTTAAATCAATCTCAAAGGATGGAAACAGAATAAGACTTGCGATATGCTTCTTATTTTAAATGTAATATGCATAAGCGTGTGTTTGTTAGTGATTTCCTTAACTTACCATTGTAAAGGTCTCTGGGAAATCGCCATACGCAGGAAATTTGGTAGGCCTGCCAATAACATTAGCCGCCGTATAAGATATGCTATAATCAATACCATATTGCGAGCTGAAGTCTAGGACTCCCAGTACATACTGTCCTAGGTAGTAGCCCTGATCATCATGAGATTGTGAATGAACCTTGCTACCACAACTAAACCAGCCGCCATTGCACTCGTGGGTGCGCTCCATTAGCATGGCCGTAAAGTCGATGAGTGCATCAGGTTCGGCGTCGCTGGAGCTGCCGTCCTCGCCGCTAAAGGCCAGCAGGGACATACTGTACTTCAATTGTGTGGGGCCGTCCTTAAGCCTCAGTGTAATATTTGTTCGTAAAAATCGCAATCGCAGCGCTTCAACGTACCAGTATAAGAGTTTCGCATAACGCGGTCTGTCCCTGAACACAAGTAAAGGCCCGTCCCGCAAATAATGTAGCTGAATCTCGAAAGGTAAGTTCCTAGAAGGGCAGGTGCTGCAAGAGAGAAGTTTGTAAATATCGTTGATAACAAAGCAGCCTCCGTTTTAGCCACTAACTGGAATGCAGGTGGTTCTTGTACTAGGTGTGTCCGGATTAAATCCGACAGTTAAACACGTTTCTGGGGTTGACGTTGGTACTTAGCTGTACAAACAAAGAAATGAATCAAGTGACGCTAATTAAATTAAAGGCTATCGCGAATTCCTTTTTGATCTCTGTTGAGCAGCGGTTTGCGTTGGTGCCGAAGCGCCTATTCGTTGGTGATTGCTTTCAATATTCTGGCATCAATTTTGGTAATACTTCTGGTTAATAATAAAAATTCTTTTATTGAATATTTCTGATAGTTTACTATTAAATTTTGACATCAAATCCAAAACAAAGTATCACTCCTAAGTGCAATAAAAATATTAGCAGAGTTGCAAGCGGCATAATTTTCGATATCGATTTAATTTCTGACTCGGCGAATGCAGCGCTGTCTAGTTATAGTGACGTGATTATAAATCGCATTTTGACTGGTTCTCTGGCACACGATTCAGTTGATTGTAATAAATCTATTAAATGATTCCTGACAACCTGATGCATGGGAATAAATATTTCGTTTAACCCTGCCTCACGCTAAGTTAATTTCACTTTTTCGTTAAAATGATAGTTGTTTAATTGTATAACGGGCATACATATATCTAGAAAACAAAATAGTACCACAAAATAATATGCTGTGTTTTCGATTTACTTAATGCATTTAAATGCATTTATTAATGTTTTTACGCAAAAAACCAAATAAAATAAGAATTGCAAAAAGTTATTGTCTACTAAAATGACAAGACTAAGGGTGCCCAACAAAACCTACAATTTTCGGAATTTCTTTAATATCTTAATTCACGAATAGTGGGCCCATAAAATGCATTAACAGGATTAAACCAGCTAATCAATCTTGAAAAAATTGTAAAAAGCAATATATTAGCCTTATTAGCAAATATTAGCCTTACTCTTGAATCCTAATATCTTTTCTCAGGGATAATGTCCCTCCATGCACACTATATTAACTCAAAGATACATGTTTAAGTAAGCGCTAGGTATTAATATCAAACAAATTGAAATTAAGACAATACCATTAAAAAACTAAATACTACACCAAACAATATACTGTGTTGGGGACTGCCAGCTGGAGGAAAGTTATCGATAGATTCGAGGGGTACACAACTATCGGAGCCACAAGTTCCTAGGCTTGACGCTGAACATTTTTGAAAGAGAGAGCGGTTTTTGTTGTTGGGAAGAAAAAAATACGGAGTAAGAGAAGTAGGAAAAGATCCAGAGTCAAGTGCAAGCCGGCCGCATAAAAAGAAAAAAATCTTAAATCATAGAAAAGGAGAATTTCGGGAATTTAAAACATATATAAATTTAATTTCAGTGAACGAAAAAATGTAAAACTTTATAAATATATATTCAGTTAAATTTATTAATGTCGCCAAATCTGAAGTCCCACTATACTGGAGGTGCCGCAGGCGAGGATCGGGTCACCAGAGAAGCGGGTTGGCCACCACCTCTGGGTGGCTCCAGGTTTTTTTTATAGCGAATTGAAAAATAGCAGTAGAATAATTAATTAGAAACAAGAAAAATTTTATATTAATTTAATTATTATTATCAGAATTATTCTTATTGTCAATTATTATATACAAAAAAGGGCTATTCTTTATAAGTAGAGGCCACGCTAAGGCCACGACGAAATGCAATAATTGATTAATCATAATTTTTAATAACTGTCACTTTTCAATTAAAAATTGTCTTTGGTTAAATAAGTATGGCCGATAAAGGTCCTAACTGCACGGTATCATTTCGATCTAATTATCAAGAAAATCGTTCAAGCAGCTTTTTCGAATTTTTTTGCATTTACTCAATGTTTATGGTGAAAAGATGTGTCATAAGAATCCTTTTCAATTTTTAACTTGAAATTCTTTTCTGTTAAATAATAAATTGAATAATCTTTTCTAAATTTACTTTTTTAAAATTCATTATTTTATTGTTAAATTAATTTAATGGTAGCATAAGCTTTTTCCTTTCTTATTAGCTAAGGTGTCAAAACACCTTTTGGTTGAAATAGGTATACACAAAACCTTGGTAGAAATAGTGTTAATCAGCATTTACATGCAATAAAATCATAGTAATATTTCAACAAATTTTAACCCATATATATTTTTCCTCCCATAATGTATAATAATTTAACACTAGACATTGGATTAGCAATCATTTTGCTTTTAAATCAGGGAATCCGCCAGCCAGTTTCTAAGTAATTGTCATTTTTGTATTTTTTGCTCAATGCCCCTTTACAAAAAAATAGTATTATTTATTCAGCATTTTCATACAATAAAATGGTGGGAAATATTTTTATTAACGATGTTTTACAATTTAAAATTGGGCTTCCACTTATTTAATTGAGCCAATTAGGTATGCATATAAATTAACTGCCAATGCAACAGCAACTGGCTAAACATCCAATAACTAAAAGAAAAAGAAAATTTTTCAAAAATAAAGCGAAGCTACCCCAAAAAATTAAACTTGTTGCTCTAAAAACTCGGGCATCATCAATCATCAAACTAGATCAAAAATTAAGGGCACATAAGGTGCAAATAAAAGAATGGCTGGGCCCCTATTTTTTTAATTTGCACATTAAGCGCCTAAAAGATGAAATGGCGAAATTATCGAAGTCTCACGCCACAGTCGCCTCAGCCGCAGCAGCGATTTTTGCAGTCACAACAAAAATAGATGCAGCCACACCAGATTCTACAGCCGCAGAGGGCTCAATGTATATTGTACGAGTATATGGAATATAAATAATATGTAATATATAGAACTCAGTTCTTTTCGATTTGATTTAGCACTTCCTTATTTCTGCAGCTTATATTTATTTTAAGATGTCCGAACTTAATTCTCGACCGCATACATTAAATTCAAAAAGTGCCTTATTCCGATGCCATGGCCATCAATATATATTAATAAGATATCGATAGTAATTCTTGTATTTTAAAACATTTGCTTATTTCTAATATTTTATGATTAACAGTATTATAGTTATTTACATTCGGCCATCCTGAATATACCGATCTACCACGTTCTATGAACTAGCCGTTAAAATTTCGTTCGCTCGATTTATCTAGCACACTATGAAATGATAGTTGCTTTATCTGACAGATATCTACATCTACTATTTCATAGCTATCAGTTTTAAATACCCGATTGGTCTTATACGGACCACGATATTTGGGCGTAAACTTGATATTAAACCCAGGCGTTGTATCCACACTACGGATCCCAAAAAAGTCTCCCAATTCGTACCTCTTTCGAACCCGAT